GGTAAAGAAAGATAATGCTAAGTGATTTTCTATGAGACTAAGTAGATCTCTTTCGACAACAACCTATTAAGGCTCGTATTTGATTATTAAAACCTTAATTTATGTTGTTTCATGTGAATTTATATACCTCTGCAATCTGATTACCTTTACTGATCAGTTGCCTAAGATTACTGAATTTGTTGAAATCTCAATCCACTAAGATTTTATATCAAAGGGAACTGGCTCATCTGACGGGAACATCTCCTGATTGGCTGGCTCTCCTATAAATCTTTTCGGTTTTCAATGAGCTAAGATATTTTCTTTCTTTTTTTTTTTCGTTTTTATTTTGTTTGACAGTGAATTTGTTGGTGCTGGCCTGGCTCGTGTGGTGTCGTGCTTATGCAAAACAGTCAAACGCGGGTTTCGGTCAAAACCTTCAAACAGCAATTTTCCCTTCAGCTGGCATTTTCTTCTTTATTATCTCTTCCCGATACATCAACTGGGCAAACATTTGTTTCTTTTCTTTATGTTTTCCGCTCGAGACTTTGTCTGCAAGCTTGTTTGGCCTGTTGGTGTTGAATTTCCTTCCATCCCCTTTTAAAGACCATTGATGTTGTATTGTTATTGAAATACAGTACCATTTAGTGCTTAACTGAATCCTTTTTTTTTGCTCTTTAATATGATATATGTAGGATGAAAGTGATCTCTGTGAAGTTAAAATATTTCGTTCATAGTCCGGTTTTCACGTGGAAAGCTAAGAGCATCTCCAATGGTATATAGTCCATTTGGAGATGTATAACATGGAGAAAGGGAGCTACAAATTTTTGTCTCCAACGGTGAATGTCAATTTTAGTACAATTTGACATGTGTTACATTATAATTGGTTGGTGATGATATATATATTTACCGTAAATCACTGTACAATGTAATTTACCATAAGTTACTGACATCCTCAATGATGGAATTAAGTAAAACATTGCAATGTCAATTGACCACAACGATCAAGTGCCAGTTGGTGTTGGTTTCACTTTCCAGAGTTCCACATTATCACGAAAATATTAAAAGAAACAAATAAACAGAAAATAATAAATAAAATACAATAAAAATGAAATATGGATGTCTAAATTCTAAAGTATTTCCTATTAATACCATAACTAAACAATATACTGTCCATATATAATTGCCCTCAGACATCCTTTTTCCTAGGCAAACCACTCACTCATGTAAAGTGAGTTTAGAGTATGTGTGTTTTGTGTGTGTCTGAAAATTAATTAGCACCAAAATCTTCTGCTCATCCTCCTCTATTCTTCATCTTTTCTCCACTTATCCATAACATGTAAAAAATCACTCTTCACAAATTTTCACCAGCACAGCACTACAAAAACACGTCCAAAGGCAACACAAACAAGGAATCAGATTCTTGAAAAACCTGTAATGGACAATGAAGTATCTTCTGGAGGCCTCCACATTGTATGCCAGTATAGTAACAACGTCGCCACCTTCGGTTACTGGCTAAACAAAAACCCTTTGAATTACACCGTTCCCCTTCTACTTCTGCAGCTTTCGGTTATCAGTTTGGTTTCGATGCTCATCGAGATCTGCCTTCACCCTCTCGGACAATCTTCCATCGTCTCACAAATTCTCGTAAGTTTACCCTTAATTAAAATGTCGTCGTTCATTCTCCTCCCTTTCTTTTTCCCTTTCCTTTTATATATTTTCTCCATCCCGTGTAGAGCGGCATACTATTCGGGCCATCCGTACTCAGACACAAGAGCGTCATGGGCCCGATTCTATTCCCGGCCCGTAGCATCTTAAGCCTCGAGACTGCCGCTGTCTTCGGACTCATGTTCTTCCTCTTCGCCATCGGCATCCGAACCGACACCCGCATGATGGTCCGACCAGCCCGGCCCGCCGTCATCCTCGGATTCTTTGCCATGTTCATCACCGCCCTTTTCACCATCCCTTTCTCCCTCCTCTTAAAAACCTACGTCCGCATGGACGACAGCCTGGCGGCCGCCCTCCCGGCTATCGCCGCTGGCCAGAGCATGACCGCCTTCCCGAACGTCTCGTGCCTCCTAATCGAGCTAAGGATGGCGAGCACCGACCTCGGCCAGATCGCCAGCTCGACTGCCGTTTTGTGTGATATAATTGGAATCATGATGCTCGTAGTCAACATCTCGATCCTCCATTCGAACTATGACCCGCGGAGATCCGTGCTCTCGATGTCGTCGGCCTTTTTATTTATACTAGCTATGGCGTATGTCGTGGGCCCGTTTATACGTCGGGTTATGAAACGAATACCGCCTGGGAAGCCTCTAGGGGACACGCACGTTTTCTTTTGCTTCGCGGGTGTCCTTGCGGCCGGGTTTGCGACGGAGTTGATCGGGCAGCATTTTATATTGGGCCCAGTGATGTTGGGGTTTGTGGTGCCCGACGGGCCTCCGCTAGGCGGGCCCATGATCTCAAAGTTGGACCTTATGATCGGGAAGTTCTTGTATCCGACGTTCCTGACGACGAGCGGGCTCAAGACCAACATGTTTACGATCAACGAGCGCTCCTTCTGGATCATGCTCGTTTTGATAGTGTTTGCCTGCATGGCGAAGATCGGGTCCGTCATGCTCGCGTCTCGATTTTTCCTCGGCATGTACAGCAGGGACGCGTTCGTGGTGGGGCTCATGCTGAACGCGCGTGGGGTGATCGAGCTCATCATGTACAATACGTTGAGAGACGGCGGAGTTTTAACCGATCAGGAGTTCGCGCTGAGTGTACTGTCGGTGATCGGGGTCATGGCCGTCATCACCCCACTCATCAAGCTCCTGTATGACCCGTCGAGACGGGAATGCGGGGCCCACGGGTGGAGGCGGCAGACCATCCAGCACACGAAGCACGGGATGGAGCTTCGAATTCTGGTGTGCATAAAGGACCAAGAGAGCGTGTCGTCGCTCGTCACCCTCCTCGGGGCATCCAACGCCACCAAATACAATCCGGTCGCCATTATCGCCTTAGTCCTCGAGGAGCTCGTGGACCGAGCCACGCCGATGCTTGTGGCCCACCAGTCGATTCGGCCCGACGATGGGTCTGGGTCGAGCCGCATTGTCAACGCGCTCCGCCAGCTGGAGGTTAGCAGACAGGGGTACTTGACGGTGCAGACATTCTTGGCCGTGTCCCATCTGGACATGGCCCACGACGATATATGTCGGGTGGCGCGGGAGCAGGAAGCGGCGCTCGTCGTCCTCCCATTCCACAAGCGGTGGGAGATTGACGGGTCGATTGGGACGGTGAGCAAGGCGGTCCAGAGCATGAACGTACGGGTCGTGGGCGGGGCGCCATGCTCGGTGGCGATTTTAGTTGACCGGGGGGTGGTGGTGCCAGCGGGGCAGGTCTACCGGGTGGTGGTGGTGTACATCGGCGGGGCAGACGATGCGGAGGCGTTGTGGTATGGAGCGAGAATGGGGGCACATGATGACGTGGCGCTGACGGTGGTGAGGTTTTTGTTGAAAGGGTGTGGCGGGGAGTGGGTGAGGGAGAGGAAGGCGGAGAGCGGGGTGGTGGAGGAGGTAAGGGCGGCGAACGTGGAGAATCAGAATTTTGTGTACAAGGAGGAGGTGGTTGGGGACGGGGTGGGGCTGGCCGGGGCGCTGAAGGGGGTGGAGAAAGGGTTTGACCTGGTGATGGTGGGGAGAGAGCACGGGACGTACTCGCACGCGCTGAAGGGGCTGGGGATGTGGAGCGAGTGCCTGGAGCTGGGGGTGGTGGGGGACTTACTCTCGTCGGAGGATTGGGGGGGGACTGCGTCGGTGCTGGTGGTGCAGCAGCAGAGGATGATGTGGGAGGGAAGGAGGAGGATGACGAAAAGAGCGGTGGTGAGGCCAGAATGGGCGGGGCATGAAGATTGGAGTCCTGTTGGTCGTGTGTAGATTAAAAGGATAAAGGGTGGGTGTTTGTATAATTGGATGAATATTTTGAAAATTTAGTTTTGTGTTGATTTTAGGGTTGAATTTTAAGTAGAAGATTTAGATTAAAATTTTGAAATCATTTTAGGTTGAATGGTCAATTAATTCCAAAGTTGAAATTTGTGGAATTTGAGTTTATGTCACTCAAATATTGTTGGATTCGAAAAGTTCGATATTTGAAAGATTCGATTTGTTGTAAAAGCGTTTAAACTTTAAACAAACTGAGAGAAATGACTTCTTTGCTATGTATTTCTCGATGACTCGAATTACGTCTATACGTATTCTCATCGTGATTGCAGCAATGCGTGACCTTGAGATTCTTCGATGAAAACTTGAATGATCCATTATTAAATAAAAGCTTCGAGAAGAAAATTTATTTAAAGCAATCCGAGAGGTTCGTTGGTCTGCAAAAAGAACAAAAAATGTGTCGCTTGATTAAGTCGTTTTATAGACAAATAACTACTAAGCTTTGACACGAAAAGTTTGACATAGTTATTGACTTTTTTACGGTTAATTTTGTTAACCGTTGGAATCAAAGTAAAACCTTGTAGTCATGTGAAGTTTACCCACCAATCTCAATACGGAATACATTCTGAAATTCACAATATGCATTTTGACTTTACCTAAATTCGAATCTGAATAGCCAATATTCTTGCAGTGAATAATTCTCAACAATCGGAGACTTCAAAAACGCACAAATCAAAAACGCACAATCCACCATGGATCCTCTGAGAATAGGCATAATCGGCTTTGGCCCATTTGCTCAATTCTTGGTAAAAAACATGATCAAGCAGGGGCACATCATAAGCGCAACTTCAAGGTCCGATTATACAGATCTTTGTGCTCAGTTGGGCATCTCATTTTTCAGGTACAAAACGCATTTTATATCTCGTAAAAGTTACAAATTTCCATCCCCTCACTAGTTATGCACTCTGTACTAAAAAAGTCTGAAATAAATGAGCCGAACTCGAACAACTAATCAAATAAACGAGCCAGCTGCCGAGCTCGTTTGCGAACAGCTCGTTTATTAGCCATGCCGAGCATATTCACGAATGCACAAATTGTGTTCACGAACAGCTTGTTTACGATTTTGAGTTTGTTAAACGAGCCGAGCCTTAGGCTTGTTTGTCAAACAAGAGAAACGGAGCCGACCCGTTTAATAAATGAACACGAACTTGAACACAAAGTGCTCGGCTTGAATAAAACCGTTTATTAAAAATGAACCATATGTGATAAGCTAAATGTAAGGGCTTATGCGTGAAACAGGGACACGAATATGCTTCTTGAATCAGAAAACGATGTTATTCTGCTGTGCACATCGATATTGTCTTTGTCGAAAGTGATGAAATCTCTGCCATTGAATTCTTTGAAGCAGCCTACACTGTTTGTCGATGTGCTTTCCGTGAAGGAGTATCCGAGAGAGCTTATGCTGCAAGTATATGAATGAACTACAAATTCTTTTATTTTTCTTGCCCACCAAGGTTTTATGATTTATATCCTTTTAAACATTTGGAAGAGTGTTTTACAAGTCCTTTTTTTTTTTTCATTTTTATCGATTTCGTAAAGGTATTGCCGCTTGATTCAGATGTGTTATGCACGCACCCAATGTTCGGGCCGGAAAGTGGAAAAGACGGGTGGAAAGATCTCAGTTTCATGTATGATAAAGTTCGGATAACAAACGAAGCTACATGCTCTAGATTCTTGAACATTTTCGCAACTGAGGTAGGAAAAAATATTCATGGTTTTTGTTATAATCTTTGAGGTGTTAAGTCTTATGGTGAAGCTATTATTTTTCGTATAAAGGGTTGCAAAATGCTGGAGATGACTTGTGAACAGCACGATAGATTAGCCTCGAGAAGCCAATTCCTCACTCACACAATCGGGAGGTTACTTATCGACTTTACGTTAATTGTTTGTTCAGATTCATAATAGATGAAGTACATAAGTTAAACTGATATTAACACGGTTTTTCCTTGCGCACAGGGTTTTGGCTGAGATGGAAATCGAGCCAACACCTATAGACACTAAGGGTTTCGAGAAGCTCATTCAAGTGGTATGATTGATCGGAGTTAAATTTCCTCTTTATACTCATTGATTGTTGTTATATAATTGATTTTTACATAACTATTTACTTGTGTGCAGAAGGAAAGCACATCCCGAGACAGTTTTGATCTCTTTAGTGGCTTGTTTATCCATAACAGGTTCGCGAAAGAGCAGGTAAAAACACCAGCTTTAGTTGATGAATTTGATTGCCTTAACCAAATAATCATCAGCAAATTAGAACATCCTTGAAAACTGATAAGTATACATTGTCAAGGTCATAAACTTGTAGACATTTCTTACTTAAAATCTAATCCCAGAAATCCGATTTGTTCAAACATCGCACAGCTTACGAACCTGGAACTCGCACTTGGGATGATTAAGCAACAGCTGGTCAAACGGATGAATGAGGAGCTCGGCACCGAGCCAAAATAAATTTCCAGCCGAAAAATTACTGGTGTGAGTTTAGCATATGAATATGTACTCATTATGTGTGCCTCTTGTTTTTTTTTTTTTAAATTTATATTTTGCAATAACATCCGTGCAATTCTTTTTGAAACAGGTATAGAGAACTGGAATAATGCCATTATGTTGTTTGTAACATTAAATTAGTATCTTAATAATTTGCGAAGATTCATGTTGTTAAGCAGGACTTTCAGAGTCTTCTTGTTAGTATTTTTGTGTAATATGTCTTGAACAACAGTATGTGTTGTGTAAGCCCTCTGAAGGACAATGTGTTAAACACACTTGTGATATAAAACAAAACGCAATGGAGATTATAGAACATCATAGATCAGCTAATGTTAGCATTTTTTTGGGATGATTTCATCTGAACGCACAATCAAAATAGCAAAACAACAATCTCAGAAAAAGGTTATATTAAATTAATCACAACTATCATACAAAAAGATTCAAACTTTAGCACTAAAACCAAGTTCAATTACACAATATTAACCCCAAATCCAGAAACACACAGACAATTTCATTTCAGCTTCAAAGCCCACCAAAGCAAAACAATAAAAATAAACCTAACAATACGTAATTAAGGACAAAAGCAGAGCTCAGCCACCAAACCCGTAGAGAGTACGACCCTGCCTCTTGAGAGCATAGACCACATCCATGGCGGTCACCGTCTTCCTCCTGGCGTGCTCAGTGTACGTCACGGCATCTCTGATAACGTTCTCGAGGAATATCTTCAAGACCCCCCTCGTCTCCTCGTAGATCAGCCCGCTGATCCTCTTGACTCCGCCTCTCCTCGCCAGGCGACGGATCGCCGGCTTCGTGATGCCCTGGATGTTATCCCGGAGCACCTTGCGGTGCCGCTTTGCTCCGCCCTTGCCCAGCCCCTTGCCTCCCTTGCCACGGCCAGACATTTTCAGTTACAGAGATTTGGTTGAAATTTGGAGAAGTTTTGTGTTGATTGGGATCTAGGAGTGTGTAAAACGGTTAGATTTTTAGGGTTAATATAGAAAATGAAATCTGAAATTTGGTGTTGATTTGAATTTGTGGCGGAAAATTTTTGGCGGATTTTAGATTTTGGGGCTTTGGGGTTGGTTTAGGCTGAGATTTGTGATCCGTGTGATTCAGTTAAACTGTTTTCTGACCGTAGATTGTTTCGTTATCGACGGTGGGGAACTGGGTTTTGTGACCTGCCGGATCGATGACGTGGACATCTTTTGTATGGCAGATTCGTGTTTAACATGGTCAAAGAATCACGTTTTCATTGGAGAGAAAAAGATTGCCCACTCGGTCTCGTTTGTCTATTAAGCAAGTTCAAATATGGTCAAGGTTTATATACATTCAACCATAGATTTTAAACCCGTCCAATAATAGACCCGAGCAAGTCTATGACTCATCGGGTCATCGATTTAATCGTTGGGTTATCGCGTCAATTGTTGAACTGGATAATTAATTTTAAAAATTTTAAAATTATATATAGATTATTATTGTCATATAAATATATATAAAATTAACAAATTAAATGTTTTGTGTATAACACATGAAAGTGTTAATAATATGTATCTCATGATAATATTTACCATATAAACATATATACATAGTTTTATTTGAAAAAAAAATAATAAAATAAAAAATTTTAAATATATATATGTATATATATATATATATATGTCCGGGTCAACCGAGTTGAAAGAACCGGGTCAATGCACCGGGTCAAGTCCAGGTTTTGATCCGGTTTGACCCGGTCCTTTATTGCCCAGTCCAAATAGCCTACCCGGACCGATTTCGGGCTCCAAGTGGACCTGATCCCGGGTCGACCCGTTCGGCTCATTCGGATAAAAAAACTATGCATTCAACTATTTCAAAAAAAAAATAAAAAATACATTCAACCTCCACATTTGTTTTTACAACTATAAATATTGATTATAATTATTGGGTCAAGTTGCTCATAATATTCCTCCTAAAAAAATATTTTACCATCTTATTTTTTAAGAGTGTGTTTGGTAAGCACAATAAATTAGCTTGTAGTTTATTTGTTTATCTTATAAATTTAATATATTCGAATAATAAGTTTTATCTAGTAGGACGAGTTTTTTAAAAAAGTTGAGTTTATCCCATAAACTATTTTGGGTAATTTTTCAAATAAGCTCGTTGAAATTTTTAATTCAACTGATTTATCAACTACCTTTACTAAACACTTTTATCATATCAGTTGACTTTTCAACCATAAGCTATAAGTTATCAGCTACAAGATCAAAATTCATTTATAAGTTATCAATTATCAACTATATAAGTTAGTTTTACCAAATACAACATAAGTAACAGAGTGGGTTAAATTTTCATGCCACAAGTATTTCAATCATACTATATTGACACTTAACAAACATTTTCACTTCACTAGAAAAAATTTTCAAGCCACAACTATTTAAATCATTCTATGTATGAGTTATTAAAAACATTGAAACTTAACAAACATTTTCACTTCACTAGAAAACCTAAGGCTTATTCTTTCCTTCATCATTACAATTACAAACTAATCAATCAAAAGACAGTAACCACATTAAATCTATCTCTAACTAAGCCAAAGTAAGATGAACAACTTCTCTAAACTCCAGTCTTTTAGTCTCGGTATAGAAAGTCCGACGCTTATTAGGCCAATAGGTCAACCAAATCCAACCATTGATCTCCCACTCCATAACTCCTCCATCCCCACCCCCCATGCAACCCCTATCCACCTTCCAACTCACGCTCTCCCCATACTCGTCTCGCGCAAAGATCACACCTCCTTGCCTCGTGAACGGCCTGTGGACGCTCGAGTATCGATTTTTGAACCACGCCCTTGGGTGAAGTAGAGCCAGTTTAGAAGGCTTGGATGAAAAGACCTCTCTGCCGTTTACACTGTCATGCAGAAACCAATTCAGATTCGCAGTGTTTCCGTGGACTGACTGTTCGAACTTCCACGGCTTTAGGCTTGTGGTGAGGGTCTCGCCGGCCGAGAAATGGAGGCCAATGCCGGTGGGTGGCTCGAAAGAGGCCTCGAGGCCCGTCTCGAGCCCAATCTCGGTCGGGTTGTTCTCTGACGACTTGCTAACGGACACACTAATGATGTCGGACTGCATGGTGCGTGGGGTTACCTGGAGAGAGATTCGCGAAGGGAAGTGCTTCTCGGAGGCGCCGGCCCCTCGTTCGTTCATGAGCGCGTCGGTTAGGAGCTTGACGACGTCACATCTATAAACATGACGTATGAAAATTTGAATATGTGATATATAATTTTTTATTTTTGTATTTTGTTTGGGTAAATTATAAAATTGTGGCTTTTGGATATGTATTGCCATTTTTATCTACAAAATTGGACTATTTTATTGACCCATATTACTATTAAAATTTGCACAAACTCATAACTTGTGGGACAAAGAAGATACCATAAACTGAAACTCATAGAACATGTAAAAATTTCATTAGTTAATTATTTTCCAGAAAAGAACACGATGACGAAAATTCGGTATATATACGAAATCAAAAAAAGTCCCATAATAATAATAATAAAAAAAAAAATCAAAAATTTTCTTCAAACATATGTCAGAAACCAAAAATATTGAACCAATTCCAATTTTTATTACCTTATGTTATCCGTGTTGACCATGACCTCAACCAAATTCTCCCTAACATCCACCCTATAATTCAACTGGATGACCCCTTCCACCTGATGATGATTCAGCGAGAATCCCAAACCCTCGTCCGGCGACATCTCTCCGCCGCTCGACTTCTCCACGTCCATCGCGATGACGGGGCAGTACAGCTGGACCTTCCACAGCCCGAACTTCGATAACGAGTACGAAAACAAACGACTCGGCGTCCCTAGTCCCGCTCCCGAGTCCCGTAGCTCTCGAATCCAGTTCGTGATAGCAAGGTTCACGGACCGCATCCAAATCTCCTCTGTGTTGGACCCGAGTAGCCTCATGAGGTCCTTGGAGACCTCCCGAGCCTCGGGGCACGCGAACTGGTCCCCGAGCGCTCTGAGCCACGAGGCTCGGATATCGGTCGGGGCTTCGTAAATGCACACGACGAACGTGAGGGTTAGGAAAGTGAAGTTGAACACGTTCGTCATGAGGTTATCGCTCGGGAGTTTGAACGGTGGATTAATATTATAATAAGACGTGTTTTTGCACGAGGAGGAGTATTTTAGGACATCACGTATGAGGTTATTAGTGAGGAGAGTCATGTGATTGTTGGATTTGAAGGGGATTTTCTTGGATGTCCAAAGGGAGATGGAGAGATTAATGTTGTAATCTACATAGATTGAGAGGGAAAAATAATGGTGGGAGCTTTTTTTGGAGGAGTTTATTGAGAGTTTGAGGGTTGGTGATTGAGATTGGGTTGAATTTGATGATGATGAAGGGCATAGGTTGATGGAAGTGTTGCTTATTATTGGCCATGGTTGGTTTTGTATCCATGAAAAGACATTTGGGAATGAACAAAAGGCCATTGATTGATTGATTAATTAATGGAGAGACTAAATTGATTTGAGTTGATTCTCTCACAAAATTGGGTTCTTTGGTTTTTTGTTTGAGATCATTAATATGTGTTGTGAAGGGATTTCTATACATTTAAAGAAGTGGAGAAGATTGGTTTGGAGGAATAATTAAAAGTTGTTATGAATGTGAATTGAGATGAGGTTTTGTAGCAAATGTATGCTTGTGCATGCATCAATACTAACCGTGTGGGTTTGTAATTTCTCATGTGTTAACATTTCTATCCATTACCATCTCACAATCACCTATGAGAATCCGATATTATTATTATTATTATTATTATTATTATTATTATTATTATTATTATTATTATTATTATTATTATTATTATTATTACAACATGTAAACGCACTACAAGAATGTGATGAAATTTCAATGAAAAATTCCAGCAGAAATTCAAATGGATATTCCAATGCTATTGTTTCCGTTAAAATTTTTCAATGGACTCCGACGGAATCCAACAAAAATATTCCATTTGGAATGAGTTTTCTATTGGAATTTTGTTGGATTTTAACGATTCTAACAGTACATTTTCCGACGATTGAAATATGAGTGAAAATAAAAATTCCAACGAAAATTTCTACTGTAAAAAACCGTTGGACGAATGGCCATTGGAATGATAAAATTTCATCTAAATTTCAATGAGAAACTCATTCCTACAGAGTAATTTTGTTGGAATTTTTGTCAGAATAATATCAACGAAAACTATACCATTAGAATATCCGTTGAAATTTTAATTGAAATATATTATCGTAGGATTTTTCGTTGAAATATGACAATTATTTTGTAGATGACTGTAATTTGTTTCACTCTATATATTGAATATTTGGTTTATGTGTTGTTTCAATAGCATTAGAGAATTAATATTTTGTATGTAACATGAATATATCATTATCTTACATGTGTATATAGTTACCGAAAATGTACATAGTGGAGCGAATTACAAAAAACAGTATAAGGATATATATGATGATGTAAATAATAAAAATTTGGTGTATCAGCTAATTTTTTATATTTGGTCTCGTGGCTTTGATTCAGAAATTAATAACTTTTTTTTATAACCAGCCACGATATCCGGAGTTATGTCTTGGGTCGCACACTTGGCAGTGATGGGTGAGTCTCCCAATAAGGGTTTTCTGCATCCACAAAGAATCGAACCCGAAACCTTACTTAAGCGACATCAAGCTGCTTACCACTTGAGCAACCCCTATTAGTAACTTGATTATTCTACTCATGAATGATGAATTATACGTCCAAGTGAAATGGTTGCATTGCTTATTTGAAAAATATTAGGATGCGTACAGAATTTTTTGGTATAATAATAATAATAATAATAATAATAATAATAATAATAATAATAATAATAATAATAATAATTAAAAAAAAACGGGCTGATGAGAGAGTTTCACATGCATGAAACATTATGAAACAAACTGACATTGATCTTTCTTTATGTAGCTAATAATAGTTTGCGTGCAATGTCAGCATGCTTCTTCAAGCTAAAATCTTCACCAATTTCAATATATTTAATTTGGTTGTTAGGTATAAACTGTTTAATCATTGTACATTTTTAATTTCTTGGTATTTATATAAACTAGTGGTCTTGTGTTATTGTACCTATTAAATTCAAAAATTGTACAAGTAAAAAAAAAATAAAAATGGACATATATACACAGACATATATTTAAAATTCAAGAGCTCAAAACCATTGAAATTTTTAATCGGATAAGTTTTCAAAACAGAGTAGGATTAATTAGGTCCCAAATCAAATTTTCATGTAGATAGCCAAACTAATGATGTCATGATACCCACTATTTATTAATTATACCGTGTCATTAATGTGGGATTAATTAATCATTAGATTCACAAATTACAAATATGTTTACGAGATTAATTATCCCTCCTATTCTAAATATTTGACGTTTTGGCTTTAGTGAGTATTAACTATTAAGCAAATAATTGTCGTTTTACAACTTTTAATCTTATTTTTCCATTTTTACCCATCCAATTACTACAGTATGCCTCTTCGTATTCAGGTTCATCTTTCCCATCCAATTTCTTTTTACTGCTCTAATGGTCAATAATTAATGTTAACTAGTATTAATACCCATGTACAACATGGGTGTTGAGTTAATGAAAATATGTGTAAAGTTATTTATGTCTAATACCAAACCTAACTTATAAAAACAACATCACGAAGCATAGATTTCCGCCATGTCAGTATTCGAAGCGTGAGAATCTGCCACCTAAGCTCAACACATTTTGAATTAATATATAGGGAGGGATTATTCATTAAATAAGGGTAATTTAGGCAACAAAACAATTTCTTAATAATTGTGTTAATGTCTAGAACGACATTTATATAGAACAGGAGCAAGTAGTTTACAATTAAAGAAAACTGCAAGACTAAATTGAAAATGATTCTTAGCTAGCCCCTGCATTAGGAGGAGAAATACTACTGAGTTTTCCATTGAATTCCGTTAGTTAGGATTTTTCATTGAATTTTTTGTTGGACTTTGATGAGTTC